TGTACAGTTGGATGAGAAATCGCGAGACGAAACTTTCGAACCTAATTAGTCCATAATTAGACACTAATTACCAAATACAAACGAAAATGCTACAGCAGCAAAACAGTACCCAAACCCAAAATTTTTTGGGAACTAAACGCGACCTTAGCTAGGAAGACCTCAAACCGGTCTAGACCAATTTTCGCTGGTTTTTGCTAACTTAGCCCAATTCCGTCAGAATTTGAGCCATTTTTTTATTGCACATGGTTTTAGTTTCATCTTCGATTCTCTTGATCACATTTTGACTGCCAACACGTATAATACACAATTTTAAGGGACCCTAATTTAATGAGAGATGTTATTTACATGAGGGCTGGGCATCGAGCCGTGCTTTCTTTTGTTGAGTTAGCTGACACATCGCCAAGAAGATGACATGTCATAGATGAACCCACGAAAAATCATTATTCAGTATAAGAGCATCTCCGAGAGTTCTTTCTTATTTTTAAAAAGGACGGCAAAAGTTTTGTCGCGATTTTTATTAGACAAAGAAAGAAAAAAGGCAAAAGTCCGCCCAGTTTTTTAAGTGGAAACTAGACCAAAAAACCTACAACTCAGGAGAGTGCTCCACTCATACTAGCAACTTTGGTACAACAACTTGACAACTATCACAACTCACACCACTACTTCATCCAACTTAGTCAAAACGACCCAACTAAACAACTCAACTATCAACTAACAAAGATTGAAGAAGACGACGTCCTGCCTAGCGACACTAAACAACAAGGATCAACCGCGAAACTGGAAAGCCTAGCCATGCCTCCAAAGAGAAAACGACGCTAGAAGCGCTGACAAGGTAGCCCGCCAAGGAAGGTTTTCACCTGCAACATCCAGTACGGTAGGAGGAGAGGTAGGAAGGGACGCCTTCAAGAAGGGAACGACATCAGCAAACGTCGTCGTCCAAGCTTTCGCCCCCACCTCAAACCACCTCCATACCGTCACCGCCAGAGGCCCAACCCTACCAGGAGGCAGGGTGCGGCGATGGTTTAGCAGCAGCCCCGCCTCGACGCCGCCCCTAGGGACGCCGCACGGGAGATGCGTCGGAGGAACCCGCTGGAGAGTCCGCTCCCGCCGCAACCGGCAAAGTCGGCCAGCTCCACCACGAAAACCAGCCTGGGGAAGGGGAAAAGTAGATGGCGGGGAGAAGAGGGTCGAGATCAGAAGAAACCCTAGTCGCCCAGCCCACTAGCTTCCCCACCCCTGCCGAGCTGGCCCCACAACAACCATGCCGCGCAACACCTCCAGCAGCCTCCGCGCCGAACTGCCGCCGTCACACCCACTCCCCAGCCCTACGTGGATCTAGGTCAGACCACGTCACTGGCATCGGGCAAGGAAGATGCAGGATGCCGCAAAGGGAGCGCCAAGCACCAAGCACTTGCAGCCCTAGCCACCGGCGCCGTTCCCAGCGCCTAGGCTGAAGCCGCCACCGCGGGCGCATGGGCTCCCCGCCGGATCCGGCGAAGAACCGCCGGATCCAGCCAGCAGGCCACCGGATCCGGCCCCAAGCCGCCGGATCGAGAGGGGAGGAGGCTGGCGCCGGACCTTTTGGAGCCAGGCGCCGACGGCTCGACGGAGGTCGCCTGCGCCGGATAGGGAGGCAGATCCAGCCGTGGGGAGGTGGATCCGCCCACACCGGCGCCGGCAGCGTCGCCCGCCAGCTTCTCCGCGACGTCGCCAAAATCCACCGTAGGAATTCCATGGGAGGGAGTGAGTGAGGGAGGGAGGAAGAGGACCTAGCCGCCACCTTCCTTGTCGTTGGCCGGACCTCCGGCGTTGGGCTCGGGTGGCAGCCGGTCCGAGGAGGCGTGCGGAAGGACCCTGCGGCGGCGGCGCTGGGGGTGCCGCCCGAGTCGTCCTCAGGGAGAGCGACGCGGGGGCTTGCGGTCTCTCTTCCAAGAGTTCTTTCTAAAGCTTACTCTTTAAAGCATCATTTAAAGAGCCATTTATATAAAAATCGCTCTCCGTATCTTTTCACTCTCCAATATTTTTTCGATATCTTGTGTGCACTCTAGATCGTCATTCTCGTTTTCTATCTTGGGCTAGCAAGAAATCAAATTAGAAGACGGCTATATTTAGATAACAGATAAAGAAGTTGTTGTAGTTTTTTTTCATTAAAATCTCCATTCCAGTAATTATGAAGGACATAGAGAGTACCTTTGGAGTTGCTTGAAGCGACGAAAATAGTCCACAATCAAAACAAAACCACAGGCAAAGTAAGCCACATACTAGATTGCAATCTTCAATCTGTACCTTACTAGCTACTGCATGAATAGAAATATAGAATAGACAGAGCAAAGCAGTTTTGAGTTTTGAATATATTGAAATGCAGTGAAGTCTCATTCTAATTTGAATATATTGAATTGAAGAGAACAAAATGCAGACGTGTTTAACATATAGACCAAGTATCAGTATGTGGCAATCAGGGAGGGATGAACCCTTACTGTAGGAGATCAGCGCTCGCACAGAAATTGCAAACCGGTAGTAGTCGAACTAGTGCAAGCAAATCCATGGGGATGAATTTGTACTAATTCTTTGTTTTTTCCCATTCCAATCGGACCAGCAGCACTCAGGTCACGTGGCGTGGTCGGCTGCTGCTCTGCTTTTCTCTTCTCTGCTGCCGTGGGATTTGGCTCTGAAACCCACGCGGCTACGCCTGGCAGGCATCCCCTCCTCCTCCTCCCCGGCCGGCGATGTCGTCTTCGTCTTCCGCGCTGGCCAAGGGCAAGTCCTCAATCGGATCCGCATCCGGATCTGCCAAATTCGAGGTAGGCCTCCCTCCCTTCCTCCTCCTCCCTTAGCTTGTTGTTGGCTGCCTGCGCCCCTGTCCAAATCAAACCAAACCAGATCAGATCCCGTAGTCTCCTCCTCCTCCTCATATGGCAATTTAGTCGCTCAGACTGCTCGATTCTCAGCCAAGCTCTAAATCGGAGGGTGTACTGACTGTCCCATGCTGATGCAGGCCAAAGGGAAATTCTCCTCCTCCTCCTCTTCCCCAGCGGCGGCAGCAGCAGCTACCAAGCGTGGAACCACCACCACCACCAGCAGCAGCAGCAGAGGGAGAGGGAAGGCCGACAAGAAGGTCTACTCCTTGCCCGGCCAGAAGTTCGATCCTCCGGAGGAGAGGGAGCCTCTCAGGATTTTCTACGAGTCACTGTCCAAGCAGATCCCCTCCAGTGAGATGGCTGAATTCTGGTATTCATATGCATTCTCCTTTCTCCCCTAGTCCCCTCCCACACACAATCTCAGCTCTCAACAGCCACCACTGCACTCCACTTACTATCCCATCAGTGTTGTTCTACTCACGCAATATTTAGTAATTTTTATGCTGCAAAGGAATACCTTTCTTGAATTGAACTGACATGCTAACATTATAGGCAGTGTTTGAGCTCCATCAGTACCATACACTGTGTCTGATGAGTTCCAATACCTGAGGTAATTTTCGTTGAAAATTACTGCCTACTATTAGGGGGCACTCCTATACATTGACTCTTGACAGGCTGACATTACCATTTACAACAAGATAGATATGATATCCATATTATATGTCACACAAGTTGAGGCATCAGGATGAATTGATGATCAAGGAAGGAAAAAAAATGAGCGTGTGGGTGACGGATTGTTTGCTTGTAAATTGCAGTACTGGCTAATATCAGTAACTTTACATGTTTCTCCTATCTTCGCTCCATCCCTTTGCATTCACCCTTAATTCCTTCTGTTTGGTGGCTGCATGTACAATCTGCATTCCTGCTCTATATCCAAACTTAAGATTGAATTTCAGGCTTCAGCAAGATGGGAAATAAATACATGTTTGAAGTGTTGTCGTGCAGATACTAATAGATAGACTATGAGCACTTACATTGTGTTAATGGCCTCGCATTGAAAAAAACTACATATAAACAGGTTGATGGAGCATGGTCTGTTGTCTCCAGAGAGAGCAAAGAAAGCATATGAAAGGAAGCAAAAGCGGCAGCAGCAAGTGAGAATGGGTACCCCAATCAAGTCCTCTGCAGTGAGAAAAGATAAACCAGAAAGTTCGAAGAAACCAAGCATTATGGATTCCAAGGCAAAGAGGAGAGTTGATTACAGTGATGATGACAATGACTTCATTGTGAAAATGAAGAGATCCAAGGGATGACATTTTAGTATTTCCTTCACATTCACAGTGAGGGAGGTGGATACATTTCCTTTACTTGTAACTTTTTATATCACAAGTATAGATACCAAAAAGACATTCTTTAGGAAGGTCAAATAAATGTATATGTCCCCGGATGGGAGCTCAAGGCAGATATAGACTAGGGTCCTAATTACGCCCTGCAACTGTACCTGCATGCATCTTGAATATATAAAGGTTTGCAAGTTTGTGCTGTTGAATTGAATTGGAGTAGTATGTATGTGCGGAATTCAATTTGTCTACAACAAACACTAGTGCAGAAAACTATACTATACCATATGAAGTGAAGAACCAAAGTGAGCTAGAGCACTCACAACATCAGCATATAGAATCCATAACACTATTCTCATATATACTGTAGTAAATATATAGTAACTTACTAGCAGTAATAATTAATTACAAGCATCTCCAATATAATATAATGGGCCGGCCTGAAATTAAAAAACGAACGAAGAAGAGAAGAAAAACAAGGGGCTGGCCGGGGACATGCATGGTTACATGGGTTGATCAGCAAATGAAATGAAATAAACACAGTACACAGGCCAGCCAGCTGAGCTAGCTGCTTTTGTTAGTATGTATGTATATGTAGTAAGTACAAAACAGCGAAATGCATGCATGGTTTGTTTAGTTATATATATATATAAATATCCTTCCGGAGAGAGAGAGAGAGAGAGAGAGAGAGAGAGAGAGAGAAGAGAGTAGAGAATGAATTGGGGAATGGATGGATGGAGCAGATAAAATGAGTCCGTGTAGTGCCGCCCGCAGGCCTGCAGGGAGGGATGGATCAAATCGATCAATTCACGCGATGCACGACGGTAGAGGAGGAGGAGGTGCCATTGCAGGTGGAATTGGCCTGCTTGCCACTGCGGCTGGTGCCATTGGTGACTTCTCCGCCGGTGCTGGTGTGGAGATGATGCGTGTTGCACTTGTCCTTCCTGAACCTCATCTTGGCCTTTGCGTGGTCGATCTCCCAGATGTACTCCTGCATGAGCACGTTGCCGAAGATACAGGGTCCTCCTCCCCACGGCAGCTTCCTGAAGGCCAGGCACGCCACCCCGGCCTCCACCTCCGGCATCACCACGCTCTTGGCTTCCGGCTCCAGCCTCGCGCCGCCGGCCATCTCCACCGTGAACCTGGGTATCGTCACGTTGTGCGCCGGGTCCACGCCGTCGCCGGTGAAGGTCCACCTGTAGCAGTACTCGAAGCCTTCCATATTCACCCGCGGCAGGTGGGCCAGGTGCCTGTCCAGCGCCGCCGTCACCGGCTCGTACGCCTCCGGCACCAGCGACGTCACCGACGTGCTCGTGTCCAGGATGACGCCGGCGCCGAGCTTCTTCTCGGTGTTCCACACGTCATCCGGGATGTCCAGCCGCTCCTCGCCCACGAAGATGCTCGTCACCCGGGGCCCGTACGCGGGCTTCACGTCCACGTTGTAAAGGACCTCCGTCTCCATGGTGCCCGGCCCCATCACGGCCGGGTTGGGACCGAAGGTGAGGTAGCTGGAGGCGTCGCGGGAGCTGTTGGCGCTGAGGAGGCAGAAGGAGAAGCGGCCCCCGAAGCGCAAGACGGCGTGGATAGCGAACGATATATGGCCGTTCCCCAGCGAGAGCACGCCGTCGTGGGCGTCCACGCTGCCGCCGGCCTCCAGGACGGAGCAGCCCAGGATGAGGCCGGGAAGCTTGGCCATCCGCCCGTCGGACACGGTCACCGTCGCCTTCTCCTTGCCGTAGATGCCGATCGTCACCGTGCCGTCCTGCATCTTTTGGTAGTAGCTGCACGACTCCGCCTTGCTGGGGCTCTGGCACGTGTTGTAGGGCAGGTCAGCGCACTCCTGCTCCGAGCACCGGATCCTGCGCCACGACGACGACTTGGCCGGCCGGTACCAGTTCTTGTTCGCCTCCTTCTTCGCCAACGCCGCCGCCGCGCCATCATCCCCGCCCACCGACATCGTCTGCGACTGCGACTGCCGCCCGTAGTGCTTGCCCTTGCGTCGCCGCAGCCGGCAGTTGATCCACGTCAGGTCGTTGGCGGTGTCCAGCACCAGGTTGTACGGCAGCGCCGGCGTGCCGAAGCGCACCGACACCAGGTACATGCCCACGTGCGCGATGTTGAGCGCGCTCCGCATCGGCAGCTCGAACATGGACGTGGCGGACATCACCTCTGGCAGCTTGGACGACTCCTTCGCCTGCCGCCTCCGGCTGCCGTTCCGGTCGCTGCCCATCATCGTGATTAGCTGCTCGTGCCGGAACAGATCCTTGGCCGCCATGGCGCGGAAATAGTCGCGCCGCTCCTCCGCGTCCTCGGGCGGAGCAGGCGGCGGGGAGACACTGAAATGCGTGCAGCTGCCCTCCTCCATGACGCCGCCGTCGTCCATCTCGATCTCGGCCAAGGCAACCAGCTGCAGGCAGAGGAGGCCATGGAGGAGGAGGAGGAGAAGGACGGAGACCACCGAGCGGCCCGGCATGATCGATCGATCGATCTCGCTACTAGCTAGTAGGAGTAATAATAACTACCTAGCCAGCCAGCCAGCCGGATCGCTTGCTGCTAACTGTAATATAAACTAGAGATCGCTAGCCGCTAAGATTGGATTTGCTGGTGTGCAGGGTTTGTAACTGATCCAGGTGCCATTGCTGCTTCCATGCATGGTTGATAGGCTAGCAGCTCTTCATTCTCTGCCTTCGCGTCATCAAGACAGGCCTATGGCTATGTGAGGACGCCATTGTTTTGGCCCTCCGCATTCCTTCCTGTGGTGTGGACCTACTTGCTTAGTTTGTGGCCAGCAGCACTTTTCGAGGGACGACCTGCTGCATCTCTCTCAATCCCTATAATAAGAAAACCAACATATATACCTTGCCTATTGTAATTGTGTAGTTCATGACAAGTAGACATGTATGTATGACATGCACCGTACGTGTCTATACAAGTATATATATATAGAGAGAGAGTAAAATGCATTGGTGGTCCTCAAACTTGTTCTGTGATCTCATTCCGATCTGTAAACTCGCGGTTTTCATTTACGTCCTCAAACTTATCTGGCTCTGTCATCCTGGTCCTTAAACTTGTAAATAGTTGTTTAGATCCTCAAACGTAATCAATTGTGTCATTCATGTTCCTAAACTCGTAAAACATCTATTTAGATGCTTAATCTATGTTCGGGTCTCATAACCAGTCTAAACAGGTCTAGACCCATGCTCGTAGGCTGATGTGTCATGCTCAATTGCTCACATCAGTGGGCCCCCATGTTAGCTCCATCTCCCTCCTCTTTCCTCCCCCATCTCCCTCAACTCCATATCCACTATCCTCCCCTCTCTCTTCTCTCACGAGCTCATGGTTTAGGAGCAGCATGGCTTAGGAGGCACGACGGGGGTCTAGAGGCGACATAGTCAGGGTCGGCATGACCATAGCGGCGCTCTAACAACAAAGGCTCGCAGCACTCGCTTGACCATGGAGAATTGGCGATGCTCGGCCATAGGAGCTCACCCGTCCAGGATGGAGACCGGCCATGGTGGCACGCCTGGACAGGGGGGCTTGGCACAACCAGACATGAGGGCCTAGGGCGGCACAACCGCCACGAGTGTATACCTCAAGGCCATGAGAGAGGAGATAGGAGAGAGGGGAGCTTCGAGAGGTGGGGGAGAGGAAGGAGGGACATGGATCTAATAAGATGTAGGCCTCATATGTCGGCATGCCACCTTAGTATACTTGCACAGGTGTAGACTTGTTTGGACTAGGACCTAATAGAGATAATGGACCTTGTGGGGGTATTAACCCCTATACCCTTACGGCTAAGCATGGGCCGGGCCGGATCGATGGGTCCGGTCCATCCGAAAGACGACGCGCGGCCCAGCCAACCTGGTTGGAGTCCTGCGCAAGGAGTTAAGGCGGATTTGGCGATCAAGCAGGATCCTGGTCGGTTAGAATAGGAATCCTTATCCGGCCACATATGGCAATTGTAACTGGCTAGGATTAGTTTCTAGATCTGTAACCCTGCCCCCCCGGACTATATAAGGCGGGCAGGGGATCCCTCTAAAAAACATCTCTCATTAACATACATCAATACAATCAGACGCATGACGTAGGTATTACGCCTTCTTGGCGGCCGAACCTGGATAAAACCTCATGTCTGTCTTGCGTCACCGTCTTGTTTGTGGCTTGCGCATCTGTCTGCCGACAATCTACTACCTTGGGCATACCCCTAGGTAGACTGCCGACCATATTTCGTCGACAGTGGCGCGCCAGGTAGGGGGTGTGCGTACTGCTCTCCAAGCAAACAAGACGGTCATCACCTCCGGCTCCATGGCTACGCCGAATGGCCTCACGTTCACCGTCGGCCAGATCACCTGGACCACCGGCTCCGACGGCTTCATCGTCATGACCACGGAGGAGGCGTGGATTCAGTCTGCGCCGACCACTGCTTCACCTACATCGGCTACGGCTCCGACCACGATGGATCTGGCTTCGACCACGGTACGTCTGGCTCCGACCACGATGGATCTGGCTCCGACCACGGTACGTCTGGCTCCGACCACGATGGATCGGGCTCTGACCACGGTACGTCTGGCTCCGACCACGATGGATCTGGCTCCGACCACGGTACATCTGGCTCCGACCACGCCTACATCATCTTCAGCCACGCCGACGACTCGTCGTCCGCTTCCCCGCTACAAAGGAAAGCAGATCGACAACACCGACCTGCTCAACTCCATCGATCGGGTCGGCACCAAACTCGCTGAAACCCTAGCTCTAGTAAGTACGATTCAAAGTCAACCTAACGAGCAGGTAACCGCTCCCCACAACAGATCTACCCGACCAGCTCAGACCAGTCGTCCTGCACGACTTGGTACAGATCTCGTGGTCTTATCTACTCCTGAAGGGCGCTCCGCTCATCGCCGGCCAGCCTCCGCGATGGGTCTCCGGCTCTCCGAGTACGCAGCCTCGATGGAGAACCACCAGGTCCAGCCTTACGGCCTGCGAAACGCTGCCTCCAGCTACGCGTATAACCCACAACGCTGCTTGGATCTATGTTTTATGCACCGACCTCAGCCGAAGCCGCGCGACTTCATCAACATGATCTGGACTGAAGATTATCAGGAAGGATCCGTCCACACAGTTCAAGAAAGCAACTCCACCTCCTCGTCTGGCATCACATCTAAAGCATCTGTACACACCGAGCTTCAGCATCACGAAGACGACGGCACCAAGTACGATCTAGATCTGCCAGACCACGCTCTAGGGTTTTCATAATTCCCATCTTTCCCGCCAAGACGAGGGGATTTGATCCATGTTGTCAGCAATGACGAACCGTCGGCGTTTGGCGAAACAGAACAAGAAAAGACCGCGCGTGAAGCGCGCAATATTGACCGGTTCAATCGCCGACAAATCGAAGCCGAAGCAGACCAGGAGGCGCGACGCATCAGGGTCCAGCCACGCGACCTCAACGATGCTTTCGACAGGGTGGGGGACAAACAGGTCTTCAGGACTCCAAGTGCCAATGTAGCCGTCGCCATGGCAACAATGCAACGGCTACCCAACACCCCGGAAACCCAAGCGGTTCGCGATGAAATACAAGCCTATCTGACGGCTGCCATGGCCTAGACCGCAGAGATTGTAAATCAAGTCCGGGCTCCATCCGTCTCAGTCAAGTCAAGCCATAGTCGCCAGCTTCCAAGCCGCTCACAGCCACTCAACCCACGTGGCTCGCGCAATAACGACCCGTCAGACAACCATCGAGGCGGAAACGGTGGCCATGACGGTGGTAACCGCCGTCGGGAGGACAACCGTCGCGATATCCGGGACGATAATCACCAAGACAACCGCGACAATCATCGCGATAACCGCGGTCGCAGGGCTAATCCAGATGGCAATCGAGATCGCCGCGATGGCAATAACGATCTCCGCTATTACCTCGGTGGACGCGATCTGCGTGCTCGCATCAACCAGAGAGCTGACGATCGAGCATCCCACGAAAGCTATCACCGTATGGAGTATGACACTGCCCACGGTCCGCCGGGTTTGAAGCAGTTTACTCCACACCTTCGCCAAGTCATATGGCCCAAGAATTTTAAGCTCGAGAAACTTCAGAAGTATGACGGCAAAGAAAACCCCGAATTATGGGTCATGCTCTACGAAACTGCGTGCAGATCAGCCATGGCTGACGAGCACGTCATGTCTAACTACTTCCCAGTCGCTGTTGGCCATGCAGGTCACCAATGGCTGGTCAGCTTATCGGCGAACTACTTTGATTCTTGGCAGGAGCTTAAGCAAGCCTTCATTGACAATTTCATCGCTACTTGTGAACAACCGGGCAACAAGTACGATCTGCAACGGATCCGAGATCGGAAAGATGAGCCACTACGCGAGTACGTCCGGCGTTTCTCAGAGATGCGCATCAAGGTCCCATCAATCTCCGACAACGAGGCAATCGAGGCTTTCATCACTGGCCTCCATTTCCACGACGCCCTAAGAGACAAGCTCCTCCGGAAGAGACCTGAGTCGGTCACAGCGCTCCTATCCACCGCTAAGAAATATGCGGATTCCGAGGACGCCAAGAAGATAATTATTAAAGAAGCAGCAAGGGTTCCACGCTCTGACCACCCCTCACACCGCGACGACTACCGTGGCAACCGTGGTCGGAGCGACAGTTTTGACTGCCGCAACCAGCGCAACGACTCCCGCAACCACCGCGACCGACGTAATCAGCAGCGTAACCGCCGTAACGATTACAGGAGCAAGCGTGCTCGGGAAGACGACGGCGAGGTCAATACCGTTAAAAAGGGTGGCGGACGTCGTAACTACGAAGACGACTACGCCAAAGCATTGAAGGGGCCCTGCCAGCTCCATCCTAAGTCAAACCATACCATGGAGAATTGCCGCGTTCTCAAGTCTATCTATACACGTCAACAGGCTCCGGATACATCCAACAAGCCTAACGATGTAGCAGAACAGCGCAACGAGGATAAGGAAGATGATGATGCAGACCCTCGTCACAAGTACGTCAAGCCAACCGATCGCGTGCACACCATCATCGGAGGCAAAGTGTCCATCGAGACCAAGCGGGAATGCAAGCTGCTCGCCCATGCTTGTTTGAACGTGGCCAACACCGATAACCTGCTCGCCGATCCCCGGCTCCCTCCATGGTCTCACCGTGAAATCTCTTTCAGTAGGAAGGACCAATGGGCCGCAATACCGGAGCCAGGACATTTTCCCCTGGTCCTCAATCCTTGTATCAACAAGGTCCAGTTCGACAGAGTACTGATCGACGGCGGCAGCTCCATTGATATACTGTTCAAGAACAGTCTGCCCGCCCTGAAGATAGCTCAGGCGGATCTTAAGCCATACGAGGCACAATTCTGGGGTGTTCTTTCCGGACAGAGCTCTACACCTCTCGGGCAGATCACGCTACCTGTGCAGTTTGGGACCTCAGACCACTTCCGCACCGATTACGTCAACTTTGTGGTCGTTGAC